CATCCGTCTACGGCTAATTGCCCTCATTATGTTACGGATTAGTTTTGTCTTATCCTACCTTTAACATCAAACTCCCCAGTCTCCTCGAGGCTCTGGATTACCTTCATCTATGTAGCACTGTGACGGATAGATTCCAACTATGTTTTGCTGTAGTTGTTGCTTAACGGTTGCATTTTATAGATGGCTATTATTAATTCGTAGTCTATTCAGTGCACGCCGTTTGAAGGTCTCATCTTGTTCATCACAATAGGAAGAGGCTTATTTCGACCTGTTTAAACCCATGTTTGTGTTTAGGCGTGGACGCCAGCTGGTGGGTTCTGCGCCCAGACTACCGCCTTCCCTCAGAGGAGGAGATTCGCTATCTAGTGCAGCCTGAGGACTTCTGCGCCTTCTTCAGCATGCAGGCGGCAGAGCTGCGACTTAAAGACGCTGGATACGGTGAGAAGTCTCTGTTTGTCCTCGATGAAAATCCTGAGGAGGAGGAGGAGAAGGAAGGTCAGGTAGGGAAGGGAAATGTGCACCTCAATGGCTTTGATACACATCAGATTACGTATGATATGTTGGTATGATAACACTTGGTCATAGGTTAATAAATGGCTTAATACAGTTCCATTTTTATTCGGCATTTGCATTGGTCAAAGAACTACTATCTGTCAAGTTATTACCATTGAATGCCTGATTTACTACGTTTTTATTTTACATACATTGTCTAGCTTTGAGCTCTCAACCTTTTTTCACCAAATAATCGGTGACCGGTTGTCCTACTGTTTTGACAGTAGTTGCTGAAGGATAGGCGGGTTGGTAGGGCTTATTATTAGGCTAACTCTGATATGTGACGGATCGCGCTACAGCCCAAAATGGAGGATGAGGTGCGGGCGGCGCCGTGGAACACGACGAGGGCTTACCTGGCTGCGCAGCGTGGTGGCTGCTTCCTGGAGCTCCACGGACCCGCAGATCCTACGGGGTGTGGGGAGGCGTTCTCGTACTCTAAGACCTCAGCTAAACCTGGCGCTCTCTTCCGCCAAGCTGGTGGGGAGGTAGCACGGGGACTTCTAAAGGATAAGAAGACCGTTACCGGGACTGACGCAGATTTGCGGAAACTCCACCTTCGGGAAGCCAGAGCGCTTCTTCGTTCCTTTGGTATTAGCGAGGCTGACCTGAAAACCTTCAAACGGTGAGCTTCACTTACTTATTGCGCATTGTGGCAATTTCTTGACGCTCCGGCTTGTTGCGTTTTCAGAATCACTACCTTAGGGTGCTTCTGTTTTAGTTAAAGATTAACAGAAAAGTTAAAGAGATGGAAGTGAGGTTTCATTTGCTCCTGGTTCCAGTTCGAATTTTGTGTAATGCTTTTTATTTTAGTTTTTGTTATTTCACTGCTTTCAATCACCCCGCATTTGCGCTTACTTTTAGCTTTATAATAGGCTTTCGAAATGCTTAAGTGTTCATTGCCAGTTTACTCCTACTATAAGTTGTCTGTTTAATGTCTACATTTTTCGTCGTATGATGGCGAAGTATCCGAAATAAGTGTCCAGACGCTGTCGACTACCTTCCTTTTATGGGCTTTGGGATAGGACGATTCATCCTATAAAGTCATCTTTTCGTGAAACATACTATTGTTCTTATTGATCCTGGTTAGCACTGACCCCAGATTCCGATCGAGAAGAATTAAAGCCTTGTTGACGCTCATGTCTCCTGGAGTCTTCTTTTAGTTGGGAGATAATCGACATGGTACGATTTACCTCAACGGAGCGTGCGAAGCAAGGAGAGGAGGAGAGCACAGCCAAATTTGCCCGTGGTAATCGTCTTTCCATGGCAGAACAGATAAGATGCTACCGAGAGGAGTGCCAGCGCATTTTCGATCTGCAGAACCGTGTTCTCTCAAATCCTGAGCTACTCTCTTCGGATGAGGAAGAAGAGGAGCCCAGTTCAGAGGAGGACGAGGATGAGAGTAAGGTTGGCGCTTCTGGTAGTGGAGGAGGCAGTGTCGGTGGTAGCGCCTCCTCCAATGCCATCGGCGGGGTTCGACTCTCTAGCCTTCCCTCCTCAAACCAACAGTCCGTGCGCAACGTCCATTCTCTTCTCACAAATCGTATCACTTCGGAGGAGCTACGGGAACGTCAAGAGGAGGCTGAACGCGAGAATCTTAAGCGGAGTATGGAACTTGGGGTAGGCCTTCATTTTAGGCTCCTCCCTACTAATAAAGTATTTTTGCGATCTTGAGCTCCATAGTAAAATTGCTTATGGACTTTTTTAACCTAGTTTTTTATCCGTTGTTAATTCGTAATTGTAAAAGTGGACCTAGATCTATTGTCTGCTACTTTAACGGTTTTTCTAAGGCTTTCCTTTTAGAACGTGTTATTAAATGTAACATTATTAGCTACGAAGGCAGATGCTTGTTCCTTTCCCATTGCTAACTTTTGTGGTATCGTTTAACTGCAGAAATCGCTATTTTCAAGTAAAAATAAACGGAAACAGAACCCACAAGGAACGGCGTCGAATACGAGCGACGCTGCCAATGTACAGCAACTATCGGGAGTAATGGGGGTGGAAGTTGAAACGGCAAAGCTAGTGGTGTACGAAGCCAGCGCGGCGTCAGCAGGCACCATTCTTGACCTACCTGCTCCCTTCCCCAACGCCCAGAAGAAGATGATCCGAATTACTCGCACCTACTGTAAGGGTACTGATCGAGAATACTCCCGTACCGAAGTGGTGCCTTGGTCCCCTGTAGTTGAAATCTATCTCAAGATCAAACAGACCCGCGATATTGAACAAATTCACACATTTGTGGGCTCAGACGAGCAGTTCAAAGAGCAAAGGCGCAAAGAGAAACGGCGAATTCAGGTGTCTCAGTTTTGATTCCCGTGTATCATTATTTTCGATGCACATTAGCAAGCTCACTAACTTGGAAAAATGATATGCAGTGTGCCTGTTTATGTCATGTGCGTATTTACCATTTACTAGTCTGTTTTGTTTGAGTTCACATTTCTTCAACCCTAAAACTTGTGCGCAGGACCAGCTGCGTCGAGTACGCAAGCAGCAGGAATTGCTACGTGCTCGGGGTATGGCTGACGGAGGCGCACCTCTTCGGGACGCCAGCGGTCGTCTTCTGCCTATCAACCGTTTGCCTGGTTCTGGTACTGTTCCCTCCTCTCGCCGCCGGCACAAACCCTCCAGCAACATCCTCAAAATGCGTTGTGGGGCTTGTGGTCAAACTGGTGGGTCCTTTCGATTCCCCATGTTATTGGTTCTCGGTTTTGTTCTGCTCATTTGCACCATCCCGCTTTGTAGCCTTTTCTCCAAGTTCACTTCTCTGTTGGATTATCAAATTTTCAAAGTTTCGACCATACGAGTATATACTCGTAAGTATAACACTTTATCGAAGTCCGCAGAAGTTCGTGGTAAGGAAATAGCATCTCTGCACATATGTGTAACAGGCACTCCTGTTTGTGCATCGAATACCTTAAAGTTTTTGAAATCCAAAAGTGGTAGGGTCCCTGAGCATCTTAACGTTAACCGATGCGATGCGATTGTGTCAAGTGTAATCCTTGACTTGTGAAGTACAAGTGCGTACACAATATCAATCCATCGACCACGTGGCTGTAGCCACTATTTTGATCCCCTTCAGAAACCTACTCTCTTATCCATAAGTTATCATTTTTTTTAATTGGAGGCATTTGTCAGGTTTGATTAGCTTCAACGTCCTATGTACATGAAATCAGATCCATTTGTACAATTCGTATAGGTCACATGCGCACTAACAAGGAATGTCCAATGTACGGGCGAAATGATGCTGTGGCACCTCCCCTGCAGGGCGGAGGACGCAGTGGCTCGCGCCGCGTCCTACCCCCAGGTGTTGAGCCGGAGACTGTCGCGGCTGCGCAGGAGTTAACTTCGAAACCAGTCGCCGAGCTCCTCGCTGCTACTGGTGGTGGTGTGGGCATTGGGAGCGGTGGTGGGGGTGGTGATGGTAGCGGAGGTGCAGGCTACGATGCAGGCGACACCGATTCTGCTGCCTATGGCGATGCACCGCACAGCATCGGGGCTTCTCGACTCTCTGACGACTCTGATGACGCCTTCGATCACCGTGGTGATCAGGAATGCTATGAAGGTCATGACGACGATTCTCGTATGGTCAGTCCTTCTTCCGTTCTTTCTTTGGTTTTATGAGGTTACATCGACGAATCGTAGGGTTCGGCTGAATTTTAATTTAGCAAATACACCTTGTCATACCTTTTAAGTTTTGGCAGAACTCGATTTCGTAGTGAGCGTTTACAAATCTCATTATATGTTTTGCAACCATTATAAGTTCGCGTTTTTGTGCTCTAGCGTTTATTCGTATCGCTCTAATGTTTCAATTAAACTAGTATTTCGCAACTTATTTTGTTTAATTAGGTGGTTCGGCGACTCACGCACGTATTGGCTAAAACACCTTGAATCTATGACCAATAGATTAAGTTAAGCTTTCATTTTCTCTTGGGGTGAAAGTTCTACACATTGAGTCTGAAGTGTTCCGTGAAACTGACTTATAAATTGGTGTCTTTTATCTGTACTTAAGCAGTTTGATAGCAGTCGTGGGAGGACGACTGGAAACCTTGGACGATATCCAGATCCCCATCTGCCCCCGAGGCGTCACGACTTGAAGATGACGATAAGCAAGCAGCTTCTAGACCGGTTGGATGCGGCCAGCGAGGTGGTGCGCTATGTTGAGGCGGCTACCCAGCGCAGTCGTATTTCCATCTCTGGAAGCGGTGGTAGGGGAGGCGCTGGTGGTTGTAGTCGCAGACGCAGTACTCTTGCAAGTGCGGCTGATGATGACTATCCTACTTCAACCATTAAACATCGTGGCAACCGGCGGCGCATCGATCCCAGGGTCGCCATAAACCACATCTTCGAAGGCATCTACAAAGTAGGCTCCTCGCTTCAATCTCACTTCTTCCTGAGACAATCTTATAAGTATCCCTATAGGGCACTCTAAAGGCTCAATGCGCGTGTTGAGCTCTGGGATTTGACTTCCCTGTGGGAAACAAAGTTGTTTAAGAATCGGTGCCTTTTCCATGTTCATCTTCAAGGTACTGAAGTGTTTCTTTTTACCTTTTACATTTTAGGGTCTTTCACAGATTCCTGGCTGCAAGATTTTTATGTATCCAGTGAAGGAGAAGGATTTTCCGAATTACTACAAGCACATTAAGCAACCTATGGATCTTTCTCAAATTCGCATGAAGATTAACCAGAACTCTTATTCTACTCGAGAAGAGTTTCTATCAGACATTCGTTTGATTCATGATAATTCTCTGAAGTTTAATGGTATGATTGCTTCAATTCTGATGACTTCATACTTTTTTATAGGTATGAGCTTTATAAATTCCGAATTTTAAACTTACAATTTTCTATTCCGAATGTCAAAATTACCTACCTTTCTGCATTTTTTTTAATAAAGTGGGAGATATTAACGACTCACACTAAATCACTGATGCATTTTTTTATGAATGGTATTGCTGTTGCTTGAATGAATTGTTTTGTTTTGCTGCTGCTGAAGGCCGTTTTTCAGCATTTACGGAAACCGCGATGAAGATGTGCTCTTATGTGGTAGAGGAATTCTGCCAGAAGGAAATGAAGCTAATGCGATTGGAGCCGCTGGTGAACCCACTGTTGGACGAAAACGACCTCGTTCGACTGGGATTTTTGTTGCAGAAGGCCGTGGATGCTATGCGTGGTGTTGAAAACAGCCGTGCCTTTCACTTTCCCGTTGAGAAGCGTCGCTATCCTGTGAGTTTCATTGTTTTATATCTTGCCTATTACTAATTTCTTCTCCATCCTTTACGGTGCTTATCTGCACCTGACACCATCTTCTGTCTTGCATTATTTGAGGATTGGTTTGTGTAATGTTTTAGGACGCGGTGCTTATTCTTGCAACATTTGCTCCATTAAGCATTGTAAATCCCCTTTTCTTTGACAATTCCCATCGTACACTATTTCTAAAATTTTTCTGAAGGACTACTACAAAGCGATTGCGCAACCGATGGACTTATCGACGTTGGAGAAATTAATAAAGGATAATCGTTACCACAGTCGTGAGGAGTTCTTCAACGATGCAGATCTCATTCTCTCCAATTGTCGTCAGTACAACGGCGACGAGAGTGTACTCACAGGAATTGCGCGAAAGATGCTTGATGTTGCTCGTTGTACTCTCGACGAGATGGCGGAGACCATAGAAACCATTGAGGAGAATATCCGACAGTGAGTTCACATGCTAATCGGTTCGTGAGTATGTAGGAAAGTTATTTTGCGTAATTTTAGTTTGATTAGGCCTGCTCATACAGGCTTGGATGTGTAAAAGTGGTGTTTTTTGACGATGAGAGGTGAATGTGGTTATACCCACTCTACAGACGATTGGATGACATCTCAACTGCGGACTCTCAGTCTCTTCACGGAGGAACAGCCTCCATTGATTTGACTGGGCCCTCGACTTCAAAGTCTATTAAACGATCCCTCAGACAATCTGGCGATCCTGAGACTTCTTCCAAAGTTCCCTTATGTTCGGTGCCTGAAGAGGACACTGACTCTGCTAATGGAGCCAAGAAGCGAAAGATGGTCGACGATGGGGGTAAGCTTGCTGTGTCATTGTAGTAAGGAGGCGTTTCTGTAGCAGTCTCCATAGTCACTATTTGGCTGCAGAAAATTCTTCCAGGGGTAGTCTCCGATCATTTTCTGCCCATGAGGACGATGAAGACGGGGAGTTTCAGTATGAAACCGAGGGTGAAAGTCGGTTTCTTCCCACTTTACAAAATGCCGATTTGGAGAATGACGATATGCAAAGGCCGTCCGCCACTCCAGCAGTGTCCGCTGTATATGTCGATGAGGATGGTAGAGTAAGCTGGTATCTACATCGCATGCATCTAAGTTGACGTTCTATTATCTTTTTATAAAGCTGATTGATGATATGTATGATTGATATGTTCCTCCTTAAAGGATTTGTAGGCTCTACCGATTTCACCTTTAAGTCAGGTGTTAGCACTCGTCCCTTCCTTAGGTCTTGACAGACGAACGCAGCACCATGGTGCCTGCGCAGGACACGCTGGTAGCTCAAGACTTGCAACTGACAAGCTCTGAGTCCAGTGGAGACCTTTCCGAACGCGAAGGTGGAGAGTTAATGCATGGCTCCGCAATCATTGCTGCGTCTGTAGCGCCTTCACGACCGTCCTCGCGATACTCGGTATGCCCTGCAATTGTGCTTCTTCAATTTCATTTTTACTTAAATTAAACAAGTAAGACGTTTTTTGGACAGCCTGACTTGGCTTCCGACCAACCAAATGCTGACTTCTACTCACGATCTGAAGGCACCCTTGCTGGAGGCGTCAACGATGGCAGTGATGACAACGCTGATGACAGGCCAGTTAAGCGTCAACGTGTTGAATTTTTCATTGGAAGTGAGGAAGAAGATTGGGATTCTGGAGAGTAGAATACCCTTGTAGAAAAGTATCATTTTCAATCTCTTGTACATAGTATCTTGGGCTTTTCTAGCCCTCTACGTATTTTTATTATACTACTGTTCTGCGACATCATGTATCGTTGATTGTGGTTGAAATTCTGGATCATAAATAGGTGGTTTAACTTCTTCAACAAGTGCGCTGGTTTTCGCTCTTTTAAATCAACAAGTACAGAACTGGAGTATTGTCGTATTCCTTTATACTAGTAAGTGAAAATTTAGTATGTGAAGGGTTGGTTGCTTGGGCGTGGTTTCTGTTTCTCCAAGTGAATTTTTTCCATTTCTGAATGCGAGCATGTTGACGTGTAAAATTTGCATCTGAGTCTGGTTTTTGTGCGGTGCTTCCCATTATCATCAATAGACACAAGCTTAATAATTTCATTGATGGTGAACGTGGCGAATTTTTTCATTATTTAAACTCTGGGAAATTGGTTGCATTCAAGGATTGTCTTAAAAGCCAGATTAACTAGCTAATGTTAACTAAACATTGGGGAGCATGGGAGACTGGTTTTTATGCTAGTTATTTAATGTATAGTCTCAAATCAACTAAGAGTAAAGGTTATTTCCTGTAGTTTGTAGTGTTTATTGCGAAAGTTGGGTGAAGCTTGTCTAAATGATGATGTCTAAATGATGTGTCTACTCAGACGATCCAACTGGGCGGCACATAAGAAGCGATGGATGCTCTGATTGAGG